CTTCTAGAGCTTTTGTAGTTATGGTGCCAGGAGTCCTCTGATGCCACACCAAGATTAATGAGACACCATAGGCATCAAAACAATTTTAGTTTAACCACTTAGTGACCAGACCACACTTCAATTTTGTTACTCATTTAGTGTACCCACACATATTATATAACTTTTTTCTAAAGATACCATTATATTCATATCATATATAAAATTTACTATAAAAACAAATTTATAAAATATGATGAAAAGAATTTTTTTTTTTTTTTTAAACCACACAAATTTATTTTTTTTTAAAAACAAACTTTTTGAACTTTCACCCCCAAAATCAGTTACGCATCTACAACCGCCAAAAACACCCATGCTAAATAATTTCTACATTTTGTCCTGAGTTTAGAAATGCCCAATGTTAACATGTTCTTAGCTTTTTTTTTTTTTATGAAAGTTATAGGGCAATAAGTACAAGTATTAACATTTCCAAACTTTTTTTTTTTTTTTTTTCAAAAATAACGCGTTACATTGTAATACTGATATTTGTCAGGAATCCCTGAATAACCATTCACATGTATATATTTTTTAAAACAAGACAACCCAAGGTATTAAACTTGGGATACTTTGACTCTTTTTATGCAATCATTTTACCACCAATTTATGCCAAATTAAAAAATAAAATAATTGGTTATGTTTTGAACACACATAGCAACTTAAGAATACATGTAAGGAGAACTATAAGAGTTACTGCCATAGAACACCCCAATGTGTTCAGCAACATCTCCTGAGTACAGTGATACCCCCATGTATATCAATGGCTCTCTGGGGGCTAAAATACCTTATTTGGAGGGTGCGCATTCTAGTTTTCCAACTTGGAATTTTCACAGCTAGTCATCATGCACCCATGTCCTATTTAGGACGTTTATGAAGCCGGCCAATGTAATTTACCCTCAAACCATATGTTTTTGAAAAATAGACACCCTAGGGTATTTCAAATGGTGGGGTTTTAACACTTTCCATGCACTAATTCTACCACCAGTCTTTGTCACACTTTTGGGTAGTCATTTTTCTCTCACATTGTACTTTAGGCATGGATTCTCAGTTCCGGTTATGTGTTACTGACAAAGAACACCCGAATATGTGTTGAGCAACATCTCCCGAGTACAACAGTGCCCCCAATGTACAGGTTTTATGGGTTTTTGCAAACTTACAAGGGTCAAATGTAGATCTTTCCCTTTTTCATGTTTGCACATTGAAATTTGCCAGATTGGTATGCTGTGCCTATGTTGCCTTTGAGACCGTATAGCAGCCCAGGAATGGAAATTAACCCCATCATGGCATACCATTTGTAAAAGTAGACAACCCACAGTATTCAAAATCGGGTATGTCCAGTCTTTCTTTAGTAGCCACTTTGTCACAAACCCTGGCCAAAATTTGCATTTATATTTGTGTTTTTGTATTTTTCACACAAACTGCCATTTCACCGACGATATAAGTACAGGCAGTGGCGTACTAAGGGGGGGGCGGAGGGGGCGGTCCACCCCGGGTGCCATCAGGGTAGGGGGTGCCATGACCAGCCCACCCTGATGGCTGCAGTTTTTATGATGCCTGGAGAGTTCCTTTAAATAAGTACTGTAGATAAGCATCAAAGGGACACTATAGTGCCAAGAATACAAAGCTGTATTCCTGGCACTATAGCTCCCTCTGCCTCTCCCAGGTAAATAAAGGGTTAAAAACCCTTTAAGTACCTGATCCCAGTGCCAATGTCCCTCGGCACTGGGTCGATGCTCCACTATCTCCGGGATGAGTGGGTGCTAATGTGTGTGGCATTTGCCGTGCATGTGCCACACACAAAATAGACCTCACCATAGGAAAGCATTAAATCAGTGCTTACCTATGAGGTGGGAAGGAAATCTGACGCTGGATGTCCTAATGCAAAGCATGAAGATGTCCAGCGTCAGATACCGGACCAAAGGTCCATATCAATTCAGGAAGCCCACTAGTGACTGTCTGTTAAACAACCATTGTGGGCAAACATAGAGCTGCAATGTATACAATGAAGCTTCTCTGGAACTGCAATGTTTAACACTGCAGCACTAAGGGCAATAGGGACACTGTACCCAGCCCACTTCAATGAGCTGAAGTGGTCTGGGTGCCTACAAGGTCCCATTAACATTTCAAGATAAATTGTCCAGCAATTTAAGATAACCTTAAAAGGAGATGTCCTATCACCAAACACTACAACACACTGCACTGGCTATAATGCAAGCACCATCTGAGCGAGTTGACCAAAACCAAGGGTACCTAAGACTGCCCCTTGTTGCACTTCCCCATTAGCAATACCTATTCTGTCCATATTGGGACAGCAGTATTAGGCTGAGCATATCACAACACAGCGAGTAAAGTTATGCGTCTCAAAAACTATTGTAAAAAACATTTGAGGTTGTTGTGTTGAGGTAATTCACACATTCCAATTTTTAAGACATCATTTACATGCTGTTCAAGCTCATTCTTTCGGACAGCCATCTTTGGTCAGATTGACCATGATCTGGGGCTGTTTTCTCATTATTTTGCAAATGGTCATTTTCAACACTGTGTACTTTTTCTAATAACTGAGTCAGACAATATGTCTGAAGGTGCATTAAGCTGGCTGACAGAAAGGGGAAGTGGGAAAGGTAGTAAAGGGATTTTTTTTAATATTTCCAGTATCTTTACTATTTTGATACTATCTAGATACAGTCTTAATAATCCAACTATTGTAATTGAGTTATTTAAATATTACAGACCATTAAATACCAAGGATGGATACATCCCAGATAGTCAAGTAGGCATCTCTCTCTTTGAAAAATCTGCAAAGTACTGAGAATATATGCCTGCAGCAATCATGAAAGATCTCTTTAAAAACAATTCTCTGATTTGGCAGGTGATGTCTGCTGCACTGTATTTAAGGGTGTTACAATGATATTGGAAAAACCTTTAAGTCAACCATGACTGGAGAAGTTGCAGCAGGCGGTGAGGGTTAGTATTTATGACAATTTGGAGAATGCCTGCGTGTCTTTTGTTAACATGCTGCTGTAAGAAGAACCTGATATTTTTGAAGTTTTCTTTTTTGTTTTTATTGCTCTCTATAGATATGACTCAAGAAACCTTAGAAAAACAAGATGGCTAAAAGTTTCATTTCTCCATATCTGTTTAGCTCACTAAAAAGGCATTACTTGGTTTCAATGTGATTTTTCAACTATATCATGGTTTATTTTTGTCACAGCAGTACACAAAACAAAATCTTTTAAAGTACAAAAATGTTTTGAATCTATGCTTCAAACACAGTCTACAGGTAAGCAGAAACTAAAGTCAGCTGAATTCCTCAGAGACATAAATGTTCAGTCAGAGGACAACAAACCACATATTGAAACAGAAGTCGCTAAAGTGTTCCAATTTCCTTCAAGGAAACATCTAATTACGATATTGTGTTCTGTTGAGTGCGCTTAGCTGCAGTGGCAGGTGCACATGGATGATACCACAAAAAAATACTCATAATGTACATAACACTGACTACTAGGCAAATTGTAACCAAAAGTATAATTACCACATTCCACAAGCCTAAATGGGCAGAAACACGAGTCACAAAAAGACCCCCAACGTTTCGGCTCCTACTGGTAACCTTTATCAATACCAAAAATTATAGACCACCACCTTTTGAGTGTAAGCACACGAGATGCCCCAGATTTGTTCTGGACTACACAGTAGTATTAGCAGCTGGTTTCCACTGTACGTCTGGTAAAACAAGGTAATCGAGTATGGTATTGCATAATGAATAGAGTAGTTTAATTTGCTCTAATTACATAGGAGAACAAAAAATAAATAAAACAATGCAAAGCTAAAACTATCTCTCAGGGTTGCTCATCAGAGAAAAAATGGTTGTGACTTCAATGTGAATTGCAATTTTTATTTGTCATTCTTTATTTTTGTAGTGCATAGATTAACGGGCATGTTGGCACAAACATTTCACAAGACTATACACGTTGTGGCAAACTCCCCCTTTTAGCTGAATTTGCCACAAGTTTTTGGAGGGGACTACTTGCCAGCCTTTTACCCTGGGACTATGGGCACTGTGATAACCCATGTTCAAAAGTACCGTTTCTGCCCCTTGGACTTTTAACTGGAACAGATTCAAACATGTGGTGGCGGCGACCATCTTAAATTGTCCAGAGGTGTTTTGTCGTCGAGTGTATGGAACTGTTTAGGGCATGGAACCATGTGCGGTGGGGCAAAAATAAGACTTCCAGGAAATTCCTGAACTGATCTGGGTGATTTTTGGATATGTTGTTCACACAGATCGGGGCTATCAGCGGATATGACTGTGGTGTACAACATATTTGTGGGGATATGTTGTATTTTGGGGTTTGTAAAAATTTATGTTTTTTCGGTTTAGACTTAATTGAGTTAGCCCATTGTCTTTGTTAATTGTATCACAGGCAGAAGGGAGGGATCGTGTACACTGTATGAGAGTGTCAGACACTGTACATTGTTTTTATTGGTTTGTACATTTTGTAATTCAGTGTTCCATCAGGTCCAGGGGGTGTTCCCCTGGCCTGAGGAATTGTACAAAAGCCAACCTTAACCACTAAAGCTGAGATTCCTTACACTCCAAAACTGTGTATCGTCCTGTTATGGGGGGAAAGATGACTTGCTGTTCCAGCTTGCAGGAGATTCAATGGGGAAAGTCCTTGTAAGGACTAGAGCTAATTCCCCATTTGGCTCCAGGAAGGAGCGGTCCCAGGGCCCCAGTCCAGGCACGGCAACTGTGGGCAGAAGTGCTGCGGTTTGTCCCCTGAATCAGCTAGGAAGCGGTCCTTGAGCGGAGGTACCCAGCTGGGGTACAGGGAGCTCCGTTACACATGTCAATGTAAAAACCAAGCGGGCACTAAAATAGCCATTGCCGACTGGGATAATTTGGCCATAAATTTTAAGTTTAGTTTGAATTCCTCACAATTTTTATTTTAGTGAATAACCCAATAAGTCTGCAACTCTGTTTTATTATGTATATAAATTCTATATTTAAGCTTCAAAAAATGCTAAAATATTACCTTGAATATCAAAACGCACGGACGCTACACACAAGTGATGAAAGTTCTAGGGAGAAATCTGTAAAAACAGAAAAAGAAACCTAGTTAAAATATAATCACACACTTCTGCTTGGCTACCACAAATTAGGAACACAGTCTTCTAGCCTACCAGAAAGGCTTAAGTTGCTTCCCACAAAAAAAGTGATTTTAAAAAGGCCTTTTGCCAGTAAGTTACCAGTAAAAACAAATTTTTGCCCAAAATGGGGGGGGAGGGAGGGAAAGGGCGGTATAATCTAAAAGGTAAGTAACACAAAAATAAAATGTATATACACCTTTAAATAATGTACAGAAAAAAAAATTAAAAAAAATCACATTTTGCCAGCATTATAATCTTTCCCTAAAGACCTTGTACCTACATGTTCAGTTCTGCTCATTTCACTTGTCATTAAACTGTCAGACCTGCAGTTATTCGATGTGTGGACAAACTTGTGATAGATCCTTAACCTGATTGCTCTGATATAAAACGGTCATTAGGCCCAACTGGACAATTCATGCAAATTAAAGCTACAAGTATAACATGCAAAATGTCAATGCCCAGATTTTTCACAAAAAAAAAATGCAATTTTTAAGAATTTACCATTTCACTTTTACAGCTATTTATTAAAATGAGAATTTACAGAAATACAAAGTGAATTTGACATTTAAGTCCAAAATATCTGATTTGGGAAAATTCTCCACGTCAGTAAAGATTCATAAGTGGTGCAAGCTTAAAGAGACACTATAGTCACCTGAACAACTTTAGCTTAATGAAGCAGTTTTGGTGTATAGAACATGCCCCTGCAGCCTCACTGCTCTCTGCCATTTAGGAGTTAAATCCCTTTGTTTATGAACCCTAGTCACACCTCCATGCACGTGACTTGCACAGCCTTCCATAAACACTTCCTGTAAAGAGAGCCCTATTTAGGCTTTCTTTATTTCAAGTTCTGTTTAATTAAGATTTTCTTATCCCCTGCTATGTTAATAGCTTGCTAGACCCTGCAAGAGCCTCCTGTATGTGATTAAAGTTCAATTTAGAGATTGAGACAATTATTTAAGGTAAATTACATCTGTTTGAAAGTGAAACCAGTTTTTTTTTTCATGCAGGCTCTGTCAATCATAGCCAGGGGAGGTGTTGCTAGGGCTGCATAAACAGAAACAAAGTGAGAACTCCTAAATGACAGTGAATTGAGCAGAGAAATTGCAGGGGAATGATCTATACACTAAAACTGCTTTATTTAGCTAAAGTAATTTAGGTGACTATAGTGTTCCTTTATTATTCCCATAAATTTGTATGTCAGTGTAAGAATTTGCTAAAATTGCTCAGCCTTTTCTAAGGTTAGAAGAGGGGGAGATTTAACAATAAATGCTTACTGTCGATGATGATGCTAATATTTAAAAGTGCTATGGAATGTATTGGTGCTCTATAAATGCTGATAATAAAATAATTATGGGAGACTGCTTGTATACGATAAGTCAGATTTGAAGCCTAGCGTGGTGTATCTTTTTGATTATTCTATAAAGCAGATCAGTCGCCAACTGTTTTTTAATAAACTTTATTCTTTCTTTTCTTTTATAAAGAATTAAAGTCCTACTATCTGCATTTTAATTAGCTCTCATGAGCCAAAACAGTTGCGGGCTAGCTCACTGGCTGAGAACATCAGTTGAACACACTCCGCCAATGGCTGCACGTGCTTAGTTCAGACTGTGTTTCCGCCTCAAGTGCAGGCAGGGAACAGCACCTATCAACCAAAAGTAGAGTGCAGCATCCAGCAGACACCAAAAGTAAGTAGTCAAAACATTCTAAAAAGGTTTGACTACTTATATTTGGGGTGCTAGGGCACTCCTGGCACCATAACCACTACAGCACTCAATAAGGGTTATACTGCCTGGAGTGTTACATTAAAGACTGGGCTTGGACAAAACAGGTCGTTGTAAAAAGTAGTGCTTACATGCCCCTGGTTTTTACTTAAAGGACCACTCAAACTTACTGAATGGGGAAAAAAGGTTTAGCAGATATACCCACAATAATACATGCATGGTCTTTAGGAATAAGCCTTTGCAAGTCGTCCCCTTTTTCTTCTGGAAGTGATCTCAAGCCTTTTCATGCACACGCATCTGGTCTGGGGATTCATTGGGGCTCTTTTTTTCCCCCCGATTTGTTTTGTAAATTATGGGGATTTTAAATTTGGCATAGTAATTGTAGCAGTTTCCTGTAATTTTTATTTATTTATTTTTTTAAAAGGTGGATCTTTGTTTCTTAGTTTGAATAGCACTTCATTTAGTGCAGGTAATTTTAAATATAGCAGTTTTGTAGTTTCCACAGGGGCCCTGGAAGGCACATAAGGGTTGGCTTGATTTTGTTACTACTCTTGCTATATCTTAGGGAACTTTTCCTTAATTTCTCATTACTTTTTGTATTTCATCACTTCTATGTTATCACAATCTGCAGATGTTATAGTTTCCTTTTGCTTTGTGCTCCTTGTACTATTTAGGCTGTAATGCTTAGCTGTGTGTATTTGAACCCTTTCCACAGTAAGAGCCACACACGCAATAAAACAGTCCATAGGAAACCATTTCTCAATGCTTTCTTCTGGACGTTCTGCACGCTGGAAGCGAATTTCACATCCAGCGTCGCAGAAGCGCCTCTAGCAGCTGTCAGGAAGACAACCACTGGAGGTTGGATAAACCCTGCAATGTAAACATAGCAGTTTCTCTGAAACTGCTATGCTTACATCTGAAGGGTCAAAACCAGGGGTACCTGGCACCCTGACCACGTCATTGAGCTGAAGTGGTCTGGGTGACTATAGTGTCCCTTTAATCGTTTCACAGCTCTGTATAGAAACTTACAATAATGGATACAGTTGTGATTATTTTCTATTGAGCTTTAACTTAATTGTTATACTTTATAGATACATTTATAAGCAAGTATTTATTTTGCTTCATCAGCCTAAAAGAGCTTGCAATGAACAGAGCATATATTTAAACTATCCATATAACTTGTTATTTGAACATTTTATCATAGTTTGGTGGCATGTGGTATTTTAAATATTTTTAACAAAAAAAAAAAATTATATAATACATTTCTAGGATAATTTTCTTGAATTTTTTTCTAGAATTTTTTTTTTACTAGGATTAGCTTCAATTTTCTTTGCTATATGAAGAAGGTAGGGTTGCTCAAGCGGAGTGCATCTGCCACTTCTTTTAGCTCAGAGGAGCTAATGGAAGAAGGATGCAAACCTCCCTGACTGTCTAAAAGCCAGGAAGAGATTTAATTACAAAGGTGCAGATCTCATAGAAATTGGCACTTTTATAAAGGGTTATTAAAAATAGAATAGTTCTCACCCATGAAGAACTTATTTAAGCTGAAGTGCTTTATGGGTGTGGAATACAAATAAAAGTGAACCAAAAAGAAAAATATATTTATTTTTAATCTTTTCACTGACACGGCTATCCATTCCCAGACTGCAAATTCACATTTACATGAGATGTTCATAAACGCCACAGGCATCATGTTATGCAATAAGCTCTGAATCTTGTAAATTTGCTGAGGATGCACAAGAAGAACCTAGTAATCCAATACACTTGTATAGAAGATTCAGTGTGGGCATAAAATCAAGAGACTACTGGCAAGCAGGACTGCAGATAGGTTACAGAAACCAGTAATGAACCAGATGGCTCTAGTATTAGGAGTTATCCAGTTCCTTTCTTCAGGTATTGTATTATTTATCCTGTTACAAACGTTTTACAAAGTTTAAACTGTTTGCAGTCAAGTCACCTATTTGTATCTGTAACCAATGACAGCTTGTTTTTGTTGTATTCAGATGACAAGCTGTTAATAACATTAATACTAATAAATACTCCACGGTGTTTAGGTGTATGTGTAGTCAGGTTTCGTCAACACAACAGAAAACAAGATTGTCATTGACAGATGCTACAAAATAATTTCTTATGTTACAACAGCTTGGTGCAGTGCTTCCCCTTTGGCTTGCCTCAGGAGGCCTATCATACATATTGTTTAGTATGTTGAGGGAAGAACTGTCTTGGGGATGCAATAATGTTAAGTTACCTGAGGAGCAAAGAAAGTCTAATTTGTACATTGTCAAGTGTCAGCAGATGTTTCTCAGATGAAACTTACAAATTAAAACACATTTTGCTAGTTGCAGTAAAGATTGTGAAGCTGGGAGAGTGAGATGATTGAATGCAAATTAAGAAAATAAGTGACAGTGATGTGCACGGTTTTAAGAATTTTAGTATTGAGAATCATAGCAAGGGGGCTAAAAAAAAAAGGTACATAGAAATATCAGAAACCTGCTTTTGTAAAAATATTAAAATTTGAGTTGTAGGATGAACAAAGCAGCATTACAAATTGTGAAGCAGGACAATGGAGCACTACATGTTTTTTTTGTTTGTTTTTTCAAATGTTGTTAGAGTCCATTTGCCACTTTTTTCTAAATCTTATAATAAAGATATAATAATTTCAATGGTATTACACTATTAGCAGTAAATGTGTTTTCCCCTCGCTATTTATATATTCCTTTTTACCATTGTACACCGGCAGATTCATTTGTGGCTGCATTGCCTTGATTAAATTTTGGATAGAACAGATTTAAAACTTAACGTCTGTGACTTAATTTAAATATGTATGTTACATAATTTCCTTGTTTGCTGTGTACTACCAGCACAAAGCTGTTTTCCTGACACTACAGTGCTCTGAGTCCCACTCCCGTGGCGCTGAAGGAGCTAAAACCCCTTCAGCAGCTTACCTTATTCCAGCGCCGGGCTCCCTCGGCGCTGATGACCTCTCCGGCAAGTGCCACGCTCGCATTCCAAGTGTCCATAGGAAAGCATTTCTCAATGCTTTCCTATGGACGCTCTGCGTGATGGCTTAACCCCAAAATGTAAACATAGCAGTTTCTCTAAAACTGCTATGTTTGCATCTGAAGGGTTAAAACCTGAGGGACCTGGCACCCAGACCACTTCATTGAGCTGAAGTGGTCTGCGTGACTGTAGTGTCCCTTTAATGCATCTTTATGAGGAGATGCGATTGGTACATTTGCTGTGCATGCACAAAATCCTCCCAATGCTTTCCATAACGATTGAAAAAACTGGCACGGCATGAGAAAATGAGTAAAAAGTTGAGTAAAAACACCTTCCTCATGAGATCGGAGGGGGCAGGTACCTAAACACGCACACACACGGAAAGCTTATACGCACGCTCGCTCACTCCGACAGGCTCGTTCACGCTCACATTTTTGTTTTAATTGAAACCCACTCAGTCTCCCTATCTTTGAGAGAGCTGAGTGGGTCTTGGGTTCAGTGGGGCGGCTCTCTTCCTGTGTGCAAAGGAGCAGTACTCTGCCTATAGCTCCTCTCTGCAATGATGCCGGGGCCGGAAAGATGTCATATTCCAGCTCCCGGCATCATTAGACAACGCGAAGGAGCAGAGAGCAGCTGCAGGCAGAGTAGTGCTCCCGCGGGCAGGCGACCGCCTCCATGCTACCTCAGCGGCCACACTAACTAGAGTGCTGGCAAATCCCATGCCAATCTAGCACCTGGGATTTGTCAAGCCCTGCCATAATTTAATTCAGCATTAAAGAGTATTTAGTGTTTTTATGTTTCAATGCTAAACAGCAGCCCATCCCCCTCTGTGTTGCTTAAGCTGGTGAGGACGTATTATCCTGGACAGAAATGGGCAGCTGTGATTGGCTGAGAATGTCAGCTGACTGCTTTTAATCTCTCCGAGCTCCCTAACTGGCGGCATTAAGGGTATGACTAGAAGTGTACAATACGCTTATTAACTTCTCTAAAATGGTTTAGCACTGAATGGAGGGACAGTGCCTATGGACTCCAGGCACTATAGCCGATTCAAAGAGATAAAATGGTTATAGTGTCCCTATAACATCCAATCACACGCTCATTATATAAATGATCAGCCATCCTTAGGAATACTTACCAAACCAGGGTAGACCTCTCCCATGGCATGAACATGTTCGCTTAATTGCCATCACATCAGTGTTAAAGTGCTGCAGTTAACATCCCTCCTCTCTTACCTGTCATTTCATTAGATGCATCGCCACTGTGCTATCAGAACACAAGGGAAAGGACCATAACTGTTTTAAAATTGATACAATATCTAGCAATTCTAAAAGTATAATTTTAATCCTTTTCATTTAATGAAATGAGTTTTCAGCATTTTCAGAGAATTAAGAAGGAGGTGGCACATTGGAAGAAATTAAGGATTTTGTTCCAGTTTTAGGAATAGAAGGAAGATGATATTTTAACAAAGTTAAAAAATTAAAAGGTTTTAAAAGTCAAGGCAGCAAAGAGGTTTGGTAAAGGTGCAGCATAGATTTGTGCAGTTTCAGCTGCTACAAAATAATCTGATGCCATCTAATCTATGCTCAATTAATCAATCCGTCCAAGATTCACCTGTGGAGTCTTATTCAAATAGTTAGTTGGATTGATTCATTCAATAACAGATCTAAAAAGCATGATTCAATTGTAGCTGTTAAAACCTTTGTGCACAAGTCTACTGTAGAATGAGATAATTGAGGAGTGGCAGGTAAGTGAACTGGCATACAAATAACTTAAGGAGAATGTAAAGGAATAAACAGCCTTAGAAAGTCAAAGGCCAGTGATACATTTGGCCCAAAGGGGAAATATTATGGAACATATTAATGCAAGTGGATGAAAATGTATGTAAAACGGAGTCCAAGGGGAATGCAACACATATGGTTTAGCACGGGGGGGGGAGGGGGGGAAGGGTAGAGAAAGAAGAGTGAAATAGTTTTTCAAAGACAATTACAAGTTTGGGTACAATCAGAGCATAGGTTGTTGTATGGATGAAAGAATAAAATATGGTTAGAGTGCAGATGTCTGTGTGGGTTAAGAAAAGTAAGAATCAATTGCAAAAAGAATCAAGCACCATAAACTAATGCAGGTATCATGACACAGAACACTTAATGCAAATGTGTTTGAACTTACTACAGAAGGAATGCCTATGTATGTGCTTAATAAAAGGTTACTAAAAGCGGTCCAGAATATAGTGGTTAGATGCTAGCACCTGGAAATGCTGCAGGAATAAATGTTCTACTCTATCACTGCATCACACCTGTAAATTATTCATTGGACATTACTGAAAGTCTAAAAATTAAAGGATTTAGTTCACTGAAAGGTTTTATCAAGGTCTGGCCCAGAGCTTGAGGGTAACAAGCAAATGCATAAACCCATATCTGCTATCATATGCCCTATTAAATATCCTGCATCAGATTAAAATGAATTAATGGCACACTTCTGTCAACACTTTAAATTCAAAAGTGAAAAAAAAATTATATTACCAGAAAGCCTTGCTAGCAATTCAGCGGCCAAAATGTGCAATTACTAAATATAGGAGATGTTGCCTTCGCTTTCTACTTTTTGTTCTGTGTTTTTTCTACTAAAATGAAAAGGCACTTGCATATGGCTTTTCATAAAATAATATTCGGGGGGGGATTAAAGCAGTCTTTGGCTACATTTCCTGTTAGCGTAAGCTTTTCTGACTGCAGACTGACTTTAGCACGAATACTTTATATAATTATCCATTTTATAGGATTGCTTTAATTAAAACCAACTACACACCCTCCCACCTTTTCAGGTCATTTTAATAAAATATTTTTTGGGGGGGGGTTATTTTGTTTCAGTGCACATAGTCTTTGTAAAATAGGACCCAAACTAGTAAACTTACTGCTGAATACTTTCTAATGACCTACAGTTGCAAGGTTGAATGAACGCTCGGTGTACTCTCAGCACAATGAGATCAGCTGACAGAGGAGAGCCACACAGTTGCGGTCTGACACTATCGCATTAAAACTGGACACTATAAATCGCCGCGTGCTAGCATTACACATACTGCATTGAGCGCCATTCAGTGGGAAGTTACAGCCTGAAACACGCTTCCCTCCCGCTCACACCCCGCGGACATACTTGGCGCTGTGATGGAGTAACCACGTGTGCACCCGGACTCGGCTCCCCAGGTCACACGGCCGTCCTGATGCTCGCGACGCAGACACGCATGGAGGACAAGGTGGTGCGGGCCGGAGAGGAGAATTACAGTACAACTCCCCCCCTCCAACCGTAAAGGGAGTTCAACAACAACCGTCCCCCGGAACGCGTCGCACTTCCGGGTTAGGTCGCGTCGCTCGACAAAGTGACGTAAGAGAGCGACTTCCGGTAGCTGGGAGAATGCATGGAGCGTGGAGACAGAGTGCCGGAAGTGGAAACACCCCCAGGACCACGTGGTGAGCGGGACTCGTTCGAGAAGCCGTCTGGCGCCTTGAACTCCAGACAATGAAAGCAGCCAGCCGCCTTACAGTGCTCGGCACACAGGGCAGGGATGGCGCGTGAAATTATCACATGATCCTTAGCCGGGGTCACCAAATAATAAGCCATCCTAGTGGAAGGTCGACATGCGGTCTGTCATGTGACCAAAGTAAGGCAATACTGTAAGACCAAAAATCTTAAACATGTACCACGCTGCCTGCTTTCTAGGACTTTTTAACCCCTTAAGGACACATGACATGTGTGACATGTCATGATTGCCTTTTATTCCAGAAGTTTGGTCCTTAAGGGGTTAAAGGGACAGTCCAAGGACCTTAAGCACTACAGCGTGCTGCTGCAGTGACTATGGTGTCATGTGGTTCTGATATAAGCGAACAGTTTTTTTAAATGATTTAATTGAGGTACCTCAAGCACCATTTCATGCCTCCACTACAACCTACTGTCTGCCTTAAAGCGCTCAGTCTAAATCAGGGGTCCTCCAACTCCGGCCCCCCAGATGTTGCTGAACTACAACTCCCATGATTCTCTGGCTATCTATGTAATTCAAAAAATCATGGGAGTTGTAGTTCAGCAACATCTGAGGGGGGGCTGGAGTTTGAGGACCCATGGTCTAAACTAAGCATGGTGGCACAGGTCAGAGCTAGTTGGCTGTGAACAATCCGCTAGCAAATGAGTTGGCCCTGAACTAAAGAAAGCTCCATAGCAGGACATTCTGGCTCTGATGGATGAGAGGAGGTAGAGTGCTGTCTGGCAGACCTCTGACAAAGCGTAGTGTTACTTTAAACTCTAGTAACAATGCCTTTTTGCATAATTCCAACAGCAAAACAACCCGACTCCATCAATAGGTATCTCAAACACATGGGAGCCTGTTGGAGTTGCTCACCAAAGTATGAACTGTTAGGAATTCAACTTGAAATGTAAAATTGTAGGCCAAAATAGCCAAACTGTGAACAGCTGACGGACATTATTACCAATTAAAAATTTGAGTGAAATGCCCAGTCTTTAACTGGGTTAAGATTATGCCGCCATGGAAAATGTGGGATTAAACATCATGGAGGGTACAGTAGGCCCTGTGAATCGCAGCACCCCCACCAGATTATTCTTATCTATAGTGGCAGGACAGTTCGGATCACTCTGTGATCTTCACACAAGAGATTTACATATTTACGACACCCTGCGAGTGTTTATTTTCTATCAAACATGTATCTTATCTGCACACATGTCGCTTTAACCCCTGTATCACAACTCAACTTTGAATTCTATGTGTCATCTTTGCCCAGAAATGCTTTAGACTTGAGAAAGGGAGGTTCTCCCAAAAGCTTGTCATTAGAAAATTCTGTTAGTCCAATAAAAAAAAGGTATTACAAGATATGAAATTTCTGTAAAAAAAGTGTGTGTGCGCATAAAGCACGAGCGCGCACACATTTTTTTTATATATATATATATATATATATATATATATATATATATATATAATAAATAAAGTCCCTAGTGGACTGAAACAGCAACACTATGTAATCAACTTTTGAAGCTTGAATAAATGGCAAATTTTTGGCAACAGTATCGAGTCCTGTGAGTGCACTTCCAACAAGGTATTTCATATATATATATATATACACACACACATACATACATATATACACACACACTCTCCCCCGTAAGGCAATAATGTAAGACCAAAAATCACTCAAGATATTTACAACACTCTGTTAATTTTCTATCAAACCTGTGTCTTATCTGCACACATGTCGCTTTAACCCCGTGTGTGTGTGCTTATTTAAGACGGTGCACCTAGCATGTTTTTTTTGTTTGTTTTTGTTTTTTTAACACCATGGGGCAGAAATACAGGTTTCTATTCCTGACCCTATACTGTTCATTTAATATTATAGGGACATTATATTCACCAGAACAACTATAGCATGTGTGTTTTATATACCTTTTCCAAGCCAGTTTAGGGATTGTGGAGTTACTGATTGGCACTCCATGCTTCCTGTTTAAAGAGTGCCTTTCAGGGGTCTCCTGGCACCATAATAATTTAGATGAAGTTGTTTTGGTGCCTGGAGTGTCCCTTTAATGCAGGCGCTCTGGGGTTCAGTAATAAGGTTAGCCAATAAAGTCACATGTTGCGAAATGTTGAGTCTGTAAAATCTGGATGGTGATTGCAGAATGCTGCCAGACCACTGAAATAGTTCAGACAGTGAAAATTCTACACAACCTGTCCAAATTAAGTATTCAAATTATTTGCCTGCTACCAGCTATACTTGTGTAGGAATGTGCTTTAACTGGTGCAAACAAATCAAATTCCTTTTAATCTATGCCCAAACTAATCAACCTGTCTGGGATTTATCGATGTAATCTTAATAATTCTTGGCAGCGTGAGGGTTAAACAGCAGGCCAGGCTCAAAATAAATACACGGTGCAGTATTAGATCTCCTTATGGTGAGAAGGCGATCATATTGACCCTTATACAAGTTTTGTATTCCTCTTCTGTTACTCAATGTTTTATTTATTTTTTTAAATAATCTCAAAGTGATTAAGCAACTTTAATCTGTAGTTTACTGCATAGCTACATGTAGTAGAAAGGGTTTAATTCCTGCAAAGAGACAATACCAATAAAAATGGGAACTTCCAAAAACTGGTTTGACAAGTAGAGCAGTTCCTAACTGGTAGTGTCCCTGAGAAGACCTACTTTATTTGCAAATGAGAAAGTATCTAAACTTAAAAAAAAAAAAAACTAACTAAACAGGCCATACTCGAACAGCACACATACAAATTATATACTACACAGTCAAAAGCATGTAATTGCTCATCTCTCTCCGAAACCTATGGGCATTATTATAGACTTAATCCATCTTTGCTGCTATAATAGCCTTGAGTCTTATAGGATATATTTCCAAGTGTTTTTTGGAATATTACTGCAGCAATTTTCTGAGAATCAGTGAGGTCAGTTTAGTTGGGCAATTAGGCCTGGGCTTTAGTTGGCATTACAATTCATCACAAAAGGTACTTGTGGGTCAGTAAATTTTTTTCACATGGATCTTGACAAGTCATTCCTGCATAGTCCAAAAAAGAAAGGCCTTTCTCAAAAATCCCAAGTTAAAGTACCTTGCCTAGAAAGTTATATATGTGTTAAGATGTAATTGCACTAGAAGTAGGGGGCATGGAGCTAACCATGAAAACCACTCCAGCTATTATTCCTTAGTCTTAGTGCCAACTCTATACAAAAAGGCTTATAGTTTTTTTTTCCTTCCACCAAAACCAAGTTTGTCAAACAGAGATTTTGAATCATGAATGATTACGCAAGATTCCCAGCTAAGTGATCTTTGTGCTGCTCGAGCCACTACTTGGCACTGTCCACTATTACCTTTAGCTTGTACAACATGGGAATATTTTAAGTCTGGACAGAATTTTTTGAGCAATATTGCTCCTAGATGTTTCACTGTACAATATGAACACTTAAATGTACACCATAATCACTACATCTTATAGTAGTGGTTCTAGTGCAAGGAGTCTGAGGGCAGTTTTTTTTTTTTTTTTTTTTAAGAAACCTTTTAAAGGAGTTAAAGGAACATTCTAGAGCAGTGTTTCGTGGAACATGGAGTTCCGCAGTAATTTGCCCATGTATTTCAAGCCAACTGATCGGTATCGCTGAACAGGGGCCCTCAACTGCGCCCCTGTAATGTGGGATGCTGGGAGGAGCTGGCAGCCTGTCACTTCCTCCCAGACAGAGCGAGACGGGAGGAGTGAGCAGCACACCAGCCTGCACTCCAAGCAAGTCACACTCCTACATGAAAAAAAGGTAATTAACAGGAGGATGACTGCTAATACTTGTGTGTGTATCTCTGTGTCACTCTATGTATCTGTGTCAGTATGGGTAGCTGGCAGTGTTTGTATCTGTGTTCAAGTGTGTATCTTTGTGCCAGTGGTGGGGGGTGTCAGTGTGTATATGTACCAGTGTGTGCATTTGTGTGTGTTTCTGTTTAATATGTATGTATATCTGTGTATGTGCAGACATCCCAACAAACACCAACACAACATGCAAATACACCTCTGTAAACACAAACATGACATACAAAGACACCCCTGAAATCCAACTCTAAAATTATATACAAACACACTCTTCACTCAAACACCAATAGTACACACAAATGTACATCCACATTTAAAATCCCACACTACATCCAAACACACCATTGCATGTAAATGCAAGCATAACATACAAACACACCCCTGTATGAAAATGCTAAAATTATATACAAACACCAACTCTACACACAGAAGCACACCTGCTACCAAGTAGTAGAGTCTGTTTACGATCTGCAGAAATGTGCCAAAAAAGAAAACCGTACGCTCTGTTAATTAAAAGGTTTGTACTACAACGCAAATGTTTTTCTCTGGGATTCCACGATGTTGGTACGCTATGTCAAAGGGTCCTATGGGAAAAATTAATAGGGAACCCCTGCTCTAGCGTTATACAAATATGTATTCCTAACACAGAGTTTCCTGCACGATTTAGATTACCAGGTTTTAAACTCATAAATAGCAGTGAGAGTGCTTCCCTTTAAGTCTGGAAATAAGCAAACTTCGCTTTTTAATTTCTCACTATACATTTCTTTAAAAAAATCGCCAAAGTATTGTAGAAAGGCAGATGAGGTTCTTATATCCATGGAAATTATAGATGTGAGCTTAACTTCTATGGCTGGGAAAATATTTAAATTATTATTAAAGGATAATATTCAAGCATTAGTTGGGAACAACAATGTCATTAGCAGAAATCAACATGGTTTTATTTAACATAGATCATGTCTAACTTGATTACATTCTACAAAGACGTGAGTAGATGTAAAGATCAGAGTGTTGCAATGAATGTGATCTACTTGGATTTTGAAAATGTGTTCGACACAGTTACACTCAAAAGGTTTGTATTCAAATTAAAAGACCTTGGTTTAGATGAAAATTTTGTTGGAAACGTTTATTTAAAGGGACTCTCCAGTTCCAGGAAAACAATCCGTTTTCCTGGCACTGCAGGTCCTCTCTCCCTCCAACCACCCATCCCCGGTTGCTGAAGGGGTGAAAACCCCTTCAGTCACTTACCAGAGGCAGCGACATGTCCCACGTTGCTGCTTCCTCCGCCACCACTCCTCCCCTTCATCACGTCAGCCAGCGGGGAAGACTGATCACGCCCGCCGGCTGGAGAGACCTAATGCGCATGCGCGGCATTAGACCTTTCCATAGGAAAGCATTGAATTTTTTTTTTTTTTATGCATTCCTATGAGGATCTTAGAGACGCTCGAGGTCCTCACATAGTGTGAGGACGTCCAGAGACACTATAGCACAGATAATCTGTGCTATGATCCCAGAAGTGCTGTCTAGTAGACAGCCACTAAAGGAGGAGTTAACCCTGCAAGGTAATTATTGCAGTTTAAAAAAAACTGCAATAATTACAGTAGCAGGGTTAAGGGTAGTGGGAGTTGGCACCCAGACCACTCCAATGGGCAGAAGTGGTCTGGGTGCCTGGAGTGTCCCTTTAAAGATAGAATACAGAGAGATGTCATTAATGGTAATTATTTAAACTGGGAAAAGTGTCATCAAGGATCTGTTCTGGGAACGATTCTACTTAATATATTTATAAACGCTGTTTTCGTCAGGCTTATAATCTATATAAAGGAAAATGTGCGAATAACCAAGCCACTGTCTGTCTCTTGCAAAACCTGACTTACACTGTTGTGGAGTTTATCATTTTATACAATTTCATTCTACTTAGTCTTGCTCTGACAATATAGTTGTTTAGTTGAGCTTGCTAAAAATGTAAAAATGTGCAAATTCCCATGCCACTGTCTAACTTTTGTGAATCTTGAAATACGCTGTTGTGGCGTCTGTTGATACCCTGTAACCACCTGCACACAAAAAAAAAAAATATATATATATATATATATACACACACACACACACACTTATTTATAAATCTTGAAATAAAAATCGAAAGTCATGTTTCAGTGTTTGTAGATGACGCAAAACTAGGTAAGGTATTGCCATATGAGCAGGATACTTCTACAGTGTGAAGGGATCTAGATACATGATTAGGGGACAGGGCACTCTAGGCAGATTACATTTAATGTAGATACACAATTTACACCCTAAATGGTAATAAAAACAGGAGATAAGTCACTGTAGGAGGAGTAAAGGATATAGCAGGAGCTTCTATGGTGAACCTCACAACACCACTAAAACTAAATCAAGCAAACACATACAAAGTATAAGTAAACAAGCTCCAAAACAATATCTGAGTAATATGAACATATACCACAGATCTGGAAGAAAAAAAAAAAAAAAACAGAAACTGCATATAGTGTAATACATTAAATACAGGGGGGGGAGGGGAAGTGAGAGCTCTCATGAGACGTAGAAGTATGCAGGCTTTTCTCCCTAAATGGGGTGAAAATCCATGTGACTGTGCTTCATTTTGTAGATTGGAATAACGTACTTCCTGCTTATCTGTGATATTAGACTGGTATATGTTATACCAAATGTTATCTATTCATATTACTCACATAGTTTTGGAGCTTGTTTTTTTATACTTTGTATAAGTGTTTGCAAAATGGTAATAAGTTAGGGAAATCAACACATGAAAAGGATATGGAAATAATTAGTTATAGATATCAAACTAGGTAACAATGTCAACCAGCATCTACTAAGGCAAGGAAGATATTGTTATGCATAAAATAATCATTAATTCTATGGGAGAAACATAATTTTACCTCTTCAGAAATCAATGTTAAGACCATACATTAAATATGTCATGTAATGTTAGGCACCCGTTCTAAAATATATTATTGCAGTAAAACAAGTACAGAAGCAGGCTGCATAATCAATACAGGAAATGGAAGATTTTACTTCTGAAGAAAAGCAAACAAACTTAAATATAGTTAGAAAAATGATGCCTCAGAGGGGATATGGTAACTTTATATAAATATATTCAGGCCAATACAAACCATTGTCTGAATATCTATTCATAAACAGGGCTATACATAGGACATGGTCACCCATTTAGACTGGAAGAAAGGAGATTTAGTCTAAGGCAGAGTAAATGGTTCTTTACAAATAGAACAATAAAGATGGGGGATTATCTGCCTGAAGAGGTGGTTTTATCAGAGTCTGTACATATGTTTAAACGGTTCTGGATTAATTCTTGAAAAAACAATATTTAGGGATATAATATTTAACAGTTGAGAAACAGCTTATTGATCAAAGGAAAGATCCAACTGCCATTCTGAGGCTGAGCACGATTTATTTTTTCCTAGTTTGTTGCAAAATTAAAAAGCGCTTCATACTGCGTATTTGCCTTCTTCATGATCAACAGCCGAAACGCATGTGTAAAAGGCTAAACTGGATGGATGCAAGCCTTTTTCACAATATGTGTAAATGGATTCTAAGCTGTTCTGAGTTTATGTGAAGTGCATACACGCAAGAAGTGCCTGTGAGTAGTATTTGTTAAAAAAAAAAAAAAATTACACAAGTGACAATTTGTATATTGGTTGCACTCAAATAATTCTACATCTGGCAGTTTGTGTTAATGAAAATATATACCTAATAAAGTGTCCACTGAATTCATATACATAATGGTAAATAAAAAATGCATAACAGAGATAGATACTCTGATACTCTATACGTTGCCCAAGTTTTATAGGCCCTGCCTATAAACGTGTAATTTAAAAGAACAATGTATGCGTTAAAAGGTTTTGCTTTTTAACCCTTTTCACGGTGGGGGCAGAGGGACAATATAGTGTTAGAAATAGTTTTAGGAACACAAAATCCAACCTAAAAAAAAATAAAAAATGTAATAAAATGGGTATATAACAGTGCAACACGTATTAATGGAAATAGGTTTTCCTGGAGTCATTTATAAGCTACTTGACTTTCAGTACAACACTGGCTACTAGTGAAATGTGGCACTATCAAATTCTTTGCCATTGAACACAAGAAGCTATACAAAGTAGCTCACTAGATTTAACCCCCTAAGGACACATGACATGTGTGACGTCATTATTCCCTTTTATTCCAGAAGTTTGGTCCTTAAGGGGTTAAAGGGACACTATAGTCATCCAGACCACTTCAGCTCAATTAAGTGGTCTGGGTGCCAGGTACCCCAAGTTTTAACCCTTCAGATGTAAAAATAGCAGTTTCAGAAAAACTGCTATGTTTACATTGCAGGGTAAATCCAGCTGCTAGAGGCGCTTCTGTGACGCTGGATGCGAAAATCGCATTCAGCGTTCAGAACGTCCATAGGAAAGCATTGAGAAATGCTTTCCTATGCACTGTTTGCATGCGTGCGGCAAGCGCATTCCACTCAACTCGGGAGTTGACGTTGGCGGGGGAGGAGAAGTCACCAGCACCGCGGGAGCCTGGCGCTAGATTAAAGTAAGTAACTAAAGGGGTTTTAACCCCTTCAGCGCCAAGGGAGGTTATATAGTGTCAGGAAAACAAGTTTGTTTTCCTGACACTATAGTGATCCTTTAAGCCCTTAAGGACACATGACATGTGTGACATGTCATGATTCCCTTTTATTCCAGAGGTTTGGTCCTTAAGGGGTTAAAGATTATGATTACCTTTTGTCATTCCACAAGGGACTCATTATCAAGACCAATCATCTTCCATACTAGGTAGAAAAAACTCTGGAACTCTTTCCATTAATAAATATGAAATGCAGAACCATCCACTTTCAGATGTAAACTAAAAAAAAAATTCCAAGGCATTTCTTCCCATCACAATATAACCCATTCACTACCAAGCGCTCTTCAAAAATAAAAGCATAACACGGATTTCAAACATGATTCATCATTAACACAGTGTATAAAATTATAATTGCGCTAATCTACACTTTTAATTCATTTATTAATTTGTACTTAAAGGAACACCCCAAACACCATAACCACCGACAGTCCTATCCTTCCAAGCTATTCTCCTCTTTTCATTTCATTTTTACCATCCCTGTTCATCTTTACTGGCTTATCGAAGTGGTTGGTGGCCATGCCACTGTCAATACTGAAAAAGGCCAGTATCAAGAGTGTCTGGCGTGGACATTAAGCTCTGAGGTGCACAGGTCTGCAGATAATCTTTGCACAACTAACCAACCAGGGTTATCAACCTGCAAAAATGTTTAGGACGGAACATTAAAATATAAGCCTTGCTGCAGTACAGGGAATGTAAGAACACTGCCATTATGAGGAAAACCTGGCTCACAGGAGGCAAACATTTCGCACATTTTACAAAAGCAAATAAAATAGCTTAATCTGACAAATTAGGCAAGGTGTGGCCATATTGGGAAAAAAAAAAAAAAAGGTTATGATGTATTGTGAAGCATAAAACTTCATATTAGATATTCCATAAAATTCCCTGCTATAAAATGCTTTTCTTCTATATCGTAATTGTCAATAAAACATTTCAAGGTCTATAATGCAATATAATCAAAATAAATTTGAGGTACAGTTTTACTTCCTGATAACACAAAGTAATGAATTTGAATGAAAGATTAAAGTACAATTTTCCTAGTTTCCACATCATGATCACCACCGCTTCTATTTATGTCATACAGAATGTACAGTAAAAATGCACTAGTCATGAACTTATGAAAAACTACATTACATGAACTGTAAGAAAGGATCAATAAAGAAGCAATAGATCACAGTTTCTCATAGAACAAAGATCACTGAAGCAAATCAGGATTCCATTCAACTTTTAAGTTGAATCAATATGAAGGGGTGTCAGAAATGCAATCTCCTGCTATCCAAGGTTAACAAAATAAACTTGGTTAGGTATTAAGTCTTGTGAATGTGCAAATGAACACTAGTAGAGCCAAAATAATGGTTAATAATAAAAATTGGTATTGAACAATGCATTGTAAAATTGTATATTTGTTGAACAATAATATCTTTTATAAACCTTTTAAATGATTTAATATAATTTAAAAATATTCAGTTTGTATTTTGATATTTTTATATTAAAATATTTTGAGATTTTAATATTAGAAAAGAATAATAATTTCAAAGAGTTTCTCCTAAAATATTAAATAGAGCCTCAATAAACTTTAGACTAAATTCTGTCTTTTTTTTTTTTTTTTACTTAACCCTATCAATAGGATAGAGGAATAGCAATAATGTGGGGTAGTTCCTCTACTTATTTTAGATGATGCAAGTACAATTACAAACAATTCAGTTGGTTAGGTTTGTTTTAGATACTTTTGTAATTATCTGTATATGCTTATAGTAGTTTAAATGCCAAAATACCAGAGTATTGCAGTAAGCAATGATACCTTTATTATTGGACTAACATAACACTTAAAAGATAAGCTTTCAAGAGTTTTCCTCTCTTCCTCTGGTCTAAAAAACTATTGATCAATATGATAGTTTAATACTTAAAGGGACATTCCAGACACCCAGACCACTTCTACCCATAGGAGTGGTCTGGGTGCCAACTCCCACCACCCTTAACCTAGCAAGTGTAATTATAACAGTTTAGGTTCCCCCGCCAGCTGGCAGGGGAGGAGCATTGGCGAAGCCTGACCCAGTGCCGAGGGACATCGGCACTGGATTCAGGTAAATCACTAAAGGGGTTATAACCCCTTCAGCAACATGGGATGGGGGTGGGAGGTAGAGGGGTACTGCAGTGTCAGGAAAACGGATATAATTTTCCTGGCACTGGAGAGTCCTTTTAAGTCAAATGATGTTGACTCTTCTCTGTTTATTTACTTGTTCTGGCTATCCTCAACCAATCTGCACCTTTCCCTCTCAGGCACATCTTTTGCTATTCATGATACCCCACTCACTCCCCTCCTCTAACATCAGTGTTGTTCCTACTATCATATTGATTAGTATTTCTTCAGACATTAACAGAGCGCACTCACAAGATTTTGAATTCTAAATTGCTTTTATTCGGGCAAATTCATTGAACAAGAGATCATATTGGCTGCGATGTATGCAAGTTTCCTGCATACCATAATTCCACATCAAACAGGTATACAGGTGATGTAAAATCTGCTACAAAACTACAAGGAATAGACAAGCCCACCTTAGGGCTTTATCTTAAAGATGTTCAGGCTATGCCTCACCTTGAACTACTTCCAATTTGATGGTTTCTTCTATATTCAAAAAAACTGGCATTTCAATGGGGGCACCAATGGTCTCCCTCTAAGCTAATCCATACTTTAAGTTTATGAACAGGAATACATACTGTCAAAATATGGGTCATATTTTCAAATACCTGCGCTACATCAACTATGTTTTTGTGATCTGGACGTGAGAATGCAATCACCAGTGAGATTCACCTATCGTTATAGGCATGATCCAATAGAATTTCTGGATTTACTGATTTTCATTGAGGGCAGCATTGGCTACACGCTGTTCTCTAAACACTCTGATCATAATACCCAGTTACATGCATCCAGTTTTCACCCGAAGAAACTGAAGGAGTCTCTACCTAAACTGTAATTCCTAATGGTATTACGCAACAATTCTGATGAAACTTGTTCAGATGCACAGGTAGCGGCAATGTATGAGAAGTTTCTCGAATGGGACTCTACAAAACAAATTTTGAAACGTGCTTATCAGCAGCCATAACAAAGTTTCAATGAACCTTTAAAGCATTCTGAGAAAACAGGAGATCGGCTAGTATTTCCACAAGCCTTCCACACAAATTCTCCTGCGTTGGCAGGCATTATTGCGAAAGATTGGGAGATACTCCGGAAAGATGTGTTTTTGCCTCCAATATTTAAACTTCCCCATATGATTAGTCATCGGAAAGGGTCCAACCTAAGGGACAGACTGCTGCATACAGACAAATATTCACTTATTAAGAATAAAATCTGCCAACGCAAACACTGGGTGATATCAGTGTCTGAACTGTACTGCCTACAATTCCATGACAATTCCAAGTCAATTTCCCATCCCAGATCTGGCAAGGAATTTAAGATCAGACATCGCATTACATGCGTGACAACATATGTTATATACAAAATCACCTGTCCTTGCAGATTGGTCTATATTGGTTTAAGTTCGAACGGCCAAAGAGAAAGGATTATGGCAGCCATTTTTCAAAGGACATATTTGTGGAAGTCAGTCATCCACTTCCCTCTCTCAGGTTTATATACCTATATCACCACGTGGCAAAGACTGTGAAATTCAACTCCTTAGTGACACATATTCATCTGCTTATAAAAATGTGGTTAATGACATTTACTGTCCACACAGGAAAGTTGTGCCAAGCAGCAACCAAATCCACAGAAGGGTTAATGCTGATCAGCAATTATGCAAACCTGCCTTTGGGGTCAAAGGCCGGTTACAGCCTATCAGATCTAGAGGAGGGGTATTTAAAAAAAAAAATGATTCTCTCGGATCCACAGCAAGGCCAAGTTTTCCAGGCTGCCTGATCCTCCTCCTGTGATATCACTTTCCTTTACTGGAAAGCGAAGGATGTATTGAGGAGTCAATCGTGCCGCCACAGATAAACTATCTCAAGCATTCTATGCGGATGATAGTTGCTCACTATGGAAAGAATTAACATCTAATAACACTGCAATGGGTGCTATATCGATGAGGGCAGTGTTTCAAACTGAAATGTTGCACATACAGACTACAAGAATCATGACCAATTCAAAACACTCAAGTGGTCGTGTTGCTTTGAGTAATAATTTTAACCACTAGATTGAAACAAGCATTTTAGTGCAGTGGAAACTCCTTAGTATTTATGCAGATAGCACATTTTCCAAATTTCTTTCTGTGAAGGAGCCCTGATAATAGCAATAATGCTATGCATTATTCTTTTGCCTGTGCAGCTTTTAAATCCCAAGAACTGTGTTTCTCCCGTCACACAAGGCATACATCCACTGGCGGAACTGCAGGGGTCGCAGCTGCGACCGGGCCATCACTCCAAGGGGCCCAGCTGCCCTGTGGACCCCTGTGACTGCCAGCATTTTGGTTCAGCCACCACCACACGGAAAAACTGCCAGGCCGCATTGAAGGAGCTCATCGGTTGGCAATAGATTTCCTGGGGCCCAGTCAGCGCTGCGGCGTTTTAAGAGCGCGACCGGGACCCGGTGATGTCAGAGCTGGGAGGAAGCCGTCAATTCCTCCCAACCAACAGAGCGCCGGACAGGAGGGAGTCAGAGTGGGAGCTCTGACTCCCATCAGCATGAGGCAGCCACTGGACCCCAGGGAAATCACTAAATATTTTTAAGTTTGTGTGTGTGATAGAGAATGTCTGTATCAGTATATCTGGGTGTGTGTGTTTCTGTATGTGTATCTGTTTGTCTACATGTGTGCCTGTATGTGGATCTGTCTGTCTGTGTATCCGCATGTGTGTCAGTATTTGTATCTGTAGAAGTGTCATTCTGTGTATCTGTGTATATATCTGTATGTGTTATACAAATGGAGGTGGGGGAGGGGGAGATGCATGTGGGGGCCCCATGGAACTTTTCGCACCAGGACCCTGTGGTTTCTAGTTACAGTGAAATGTGTAGAATACTGTATGACTTGATTTTAAAAAAATTATTAGTATTTGGGCCATTAACCCCCACCACTACCTTCTGTTATATCCACAGCACCGTGGTAGGGGTTCCATCTTGTAGAATAGAGTCAGCTATGGGACTATAATTGAAAAAGTCATGCATGTGGTCATAATTTTGGCACATGATCGACAGGGTTTACCTGAACTGCTTTTGTAACCTGAATTCTCTGTCTCTTTTGTTGTGTTTGGCATTGTTGTCTGTTCTGGCAGGAAGGAAAACCCCCTTGATTACAGAGCATTGCTGTGTCTGCATGACAACACCTTCACAGAGACCCCCCATGCTGTGCCTAAGGACAATAATAAAACATTTGAGGCCTTATAATATAAGAATCATGTTCTTAGATCAAAGAAAGGAGTCCACATCACTAATCTACACACCAAGCACACGTGACTTAAAACACTATAGTGTAAGGAATACAAAGGGGATTCCTGACACTATTTTTTTTTATAGTACAGTTTAGGTGGCCGAGCCTCCCCTTTTCCCAGTCTTAAAGGTGGTTTTGCTCACCATATCTCCAGCTCAGACATGCCTCCTTGGCTGTGATCATCAAATTTTATAATCTCAGCCAATCCAATGTTTTCCCACTGGAAAGCATCGAGAGGCTACCGTGGCAGAACCACTGCCTATTTATGGATTTCCTTTTATATTGTGTGTTTCCTCTGTGTTTTCCCATGTATTTCTATACAGTTCGAGTAATATGCCTGCTTACCATGCGGGGGCAGTCCTACGCATGGAAAGGACCACCCCAGTACCCGAGTGAAACATTCACACCAATTAATCAGAACATTGGCACCTGCAACCTACGTGTGAAACTGCAAGGGAAATAATTAATGAGCGCTACCCTGGGTGGCATTCGTATCCCAAAAAGAGACGCTTCCCTTGCAGGGGCTTTCGCACCGGGACTCCATGAATGGGTCCATGATGTTGGTGGGGGTACCTTCTGGGGTACTGGCGATTTGGATCACCCTAACCTAATCCTAAAAGAGCTTGATCACTACCCGGGCTAGTGGCGATATCCACCAGAGAGAGAGACGAGAATCCCTGGAACTAGGAGTCGGCCTCACCACCGCAGAGTCCAGCTGGCTGCCTGGAAGTCCGTCCGTACCCGATTGGCCGGCAAAACACCTCCCGTCCCTGAGCGCTGATTGGTGCCAATTGTTTTCGCACCCTTTCTCCCGATTGGGTGGTGAAACCCCTCTCTCCTTCCTGAGCACCGATTGGCGCAAACGTGTTTCGTGCCCTTTCTCCTGATTGGAAGGCAAAACCCCTCTCCTCCCCGAGCGCCGATTGGTCATTCCCTTCCCGGGGCGCAGAGCCCTAAAGCCCTAAATCTCCCCAATGTATGTACTGGGTTTTACTGTTACCAATTGTTGTGCAATTGGTATCTCCCAGAGCGGGAGAAGGTTATCTGTAAACCATTCCCCTCCACCCTGGGATTGTGCTGAACAGAACGGAGACCCCTTTCAGGGTCTGTGCATAAAATTAAGCTGTATCAATACAGCATTGTCAGTTGTACCCCAGAGCTGTGTCTCATCCAGTTACTGGGGGAATGGGTGTCTAGGTCCTTTAAGTGGTTCCTGAGCAGGCTGAAGGAAGATATTAGCGGAAGTAGCCGGTCGAGTTACCTGTGGTCCGCTACAGCCACTGCACAGCAAAACACAGCTCTGTACCAAACAGTATCTCCTCAGAGATGCACTGAATCACTGCATCTCTATGGGGAGTGTTCAGCGTCTACCACGCCCCATTTGATATCACAAGGGTTACATTCAGTCCAAACACAGGGCCTGTTTAAGTTTCTTAAAGAAATGTTTCAGTCTTCAACGTACATCAACAGTTTGTGGTTCATGAAGAGAGAGTGTGTCACCCTGCTTTTTACTTAAGTTATCAAATCCCCCTCACGTGCAAGACGTACCTCTGAAACTTACTACAACATTCCTGCACAATTTACACAATGCGTTTTCACATTTTCCCTATTTAAAGATGTTTGTTTATCAAACACTAATTTCAATAATATCTAAACCCTGCAAATTATATTTATCCTGTTCATTTTCTAAAAAACAGGATTTACCTCTTGCATTTCACATGTTCAATTATCTACTAAATTGCAGATTTAGTGCTCCAATAATACACTATATTGTTGTTGGGGTTTTTTTTTGTCTATCAAAATGAGTTTTTAATTCCCTGTATTTACTTAATGTAATCAGAGACCGAGAATTTGTTGGCACTATAGAAATGGTAAAAACACTTATTCCATCAGTGTTCCCCACAGTTACCAAAGTGCTAATGACTCCTAGCTATAGTATCTCAGAGCTCACATTATCTTTGGACTTTACAGATCCAGCAAAAGTATACTGCACACTGATGTGCCAATCATTTTAGCTGTTAAGGAATTACGCAGTAAAACTCTTTTACACTGTGAAGCAGAAAGTAGCAAGTTCCTATGAAATATGACCTTTTTCCAATTTCAATTTTTATTATGCAACCGAAGCAAGAATGTACAAATTAAAGCATATTCAAAATAATCTTAACTAAAAATGTCTTCGCGCAATTTTTAAAGGGTAAAGAAAGAAAAAATAGATGGGCAAAATAAAATGACGAGAGGGGTAGGGGATACAGCTGGGATATGAGCAAGAAAAGAAGACAGATAGAATGTAAAGATTCTAAAGATAGCAGAAAGGAACAAAAGGCTTATAAACAAAACAAAAAAAAACACATGTAAAAGAACAGTTTGCAAAACTGTTCAGCCAGCCAGTGTTTCATCCAGATGGCCCAGCACATCAGGATACCCATCCTATACAGCCCCCTTCATTCATACAAACACATCCATAATAAGACACACATATACACCTTTAAAATTAGACATAGAGTTGTCGATTTCCATACATGATAGTTGGGAGGCATGTAATTAGGTTGTGTGTCAAGTTATGTATGAGTCACACACACATTGGCACATACATAACTTGACACACAACCTAATTACATGCCTCCCAACTATCCCAATTTCAAGGGAACAGTCCAGATATTAAGGTCCTTTCTCACCATCCCGACTTTGTTCCCTGTTGTCCCGCTTTTGGGGATACCGTGGAACTGTTCCAAAAAAGTGTAGCGCAAGTGCATCGTCCTGATAAGTATACATACAAGATCATTTAGTAAAGTAAGAATTATTGGGAACGTAAAGTAAACTTCAAATTTAAAGTCAAAGCATCCAAATTGAAAACAATCTCCAAGTTAACTTTACACTTTTGCAGTTTACATTTAAAATTTACTTTCAATGCCATACAATTCTCACTTTTGTTAACCCTGATAGACAGACTAATACACAGCATAGACAGAAACACCTTGCAAGCATAGATTCACACTGATAAGCATACACAGATGCACACTATTAACATGCATACACACATTGACACAATTTAATGCACAAACACAGTTGCACCCACAAAATTTCATACTAGCACCCACACACAAAGAATAGCAAAATAATAAAATATTAAAGTGTAAATCCACTTTTTCTAGGACTACAATACCAATTTGGTAGCATATATTAACAATCCTTAATCTGGCAGGACAATCCTGATTGGGGACCTCTTTTCCACCATTCTGATTTGCTCTCTGAGGCCCCACCTCTGAAGTGACACTAAAAATGTCAGCTGCCACATGTCTGCCAATGCAAGAGTACTTCAACAGTGCTTGGCACAACTGGTTGACGGGGAGACTATTGATTTATTTTAGGCAGAGGTAAAGGTGGTCACCATCCTGTGTCCTGTTCTTTCAGGAGCCCTGCGCTTAAGTGTAAATTGCGTAGTTCATTTCGACAAACTCCTCGCACCATGGCAATGCAGAGATTTCTACTGGCAACAGATTTGTGAAGCCTACATAGCAGCTACAGAGATAGTTTGTTGCTTTACCCTGATGTATTCACCTCCTTCAAACCACTGCTGTGCGCCTGGGCTCTTCTTTGCCTATCATTTTGGGAACATGGAAGCAATTAGAGGAGATGTGTGCACCAGGGAATTGCATAAGTTTCCCTGAAGCTGCGGGCATGCTCGCTCTCTTCAGAGAGTATTATTTCACCTTATACAATATTCCGAATCCTTTCCAGCTGGCAGACACATTAGCACCTCAAGACCTCATTGACAAGTACCTCTCAACACAGAGCACTGCCTCCGTAGTCCCAGCTGACAGAGAGAGATTAGAGGCCGCTGTCACTCAGGACAAGCTACAGGCTGCTTTGGAGCTCACTTTACATCGCAGAGCTCTGGGTACTGATGGCCTGACTATTAGAAGTTACAAGTTTCTTACAACACCATGTCTAACATTATGCAAAGCAGTCGTGCAGGGAGCCTCGTTCCACCTCCATGACCTTATTGCAGCCATCACAGCTCTAAAACCATACAGATTTTTAGCTAACTGTCTTAAACAGTCTATGCCACGCTTAATCAGACCGGACCAGATGGGTTTTGTCCTAGGAAGCGGATACGGATGGAACCACCAGAGTAATCAATTCAATACATAGGGCAACATTCCTGCCCAATACAGCGCTCCTCCTCTACAAAAACATGGAGAAGGCCTTTGATAGGGTCCACCTTCATTCCTTTTCTCTACTTTAAAACATATCGGCTTAGGACCCCAAATACTTAGATGGACAGGGCCATATATAAAAGATATGGTGCACTAAGCAATCTTAAAAATGAATATGTCAAAGTATGATACATGGAGACAGAGCATCCAAAATTAAACTGCATGGGCAATTATCACAGTCCTTTCTTTTTCAGTGGAAAACCACTAGCTTGATATATTTTGGTATACAGCTCATGTTGACTACCAAACATTTGTTCAATAACAATTCTCCCCCCACCCACCATTGCAAACTCTAAAGGAAGACCTAGCATGATGGGCACTCCTAAACATTACCATTGGGTCGCATTCCCTTCCGTTTGCTTTACCTTTTTCAATACTTCACAGAGATGAAGTCAGTATTCATGAATTTTGCATTTGAGTATAAACCCCTGAGGTTAAAATTTAGCACCCTCACACAATCTAGAAGAGCTGGTGGTCTTGCAATGTTAACTACTATAGAGCCTTTCACCTACTGTGTCTCGTGAAGTGGGCCACTGCTGCTGTGCAAAATTTATGGGTTAACCTGGAGCAACTAAAGGTGCGGAGTTCGTTGTCCTCCATCCCCTGGCTACCCCCCACCTTGGATTAAGCTCATATATAGGTGCACTCAACTAGCAGCCATCATGAACGTGTGTTACAGGCCACATCATGCTTAACCAATTAGCTCCATCCCGACACCTAAGGCCCCGCTAGATGACCTAATGGCTTATTCTGAAAGACTTAACGCCTGACAGATTTACAGGGGACCTTTTGCATAGACCACCTATTCATCCATAGATCCCCTGGGAGCCTTAAACAGCAGGATATCAAATAAATTCTATTCATCCTTAAGTTCCAATATCACAGACTACACAAGTTTATAAGCAGCACTTTTAAAGAGACCAAGCCTGACTGCCCTCTAGAAACTTTTTAATAAATTTATCAAAATGCTACACCGTTGCATATCTCAAATGTATACATACAAAAAAGTGTTTGTTTTTTTAGTATTTTGTTAAGAACTAATACTGTGTTAAAGGAACAATCCAAACACCACAACACCTTTATCAAAATTGAGATGTTATGGCACCAGGAGATCCCTGCAGATGGCTCACCTTTAGGTGTTAAACCTTACACAAACGGTTTAACCCCAAAGTCTGTGTACGTATCTTCTTTTATAAATGGGGAGCTACTGCCTGGCTTAGAGCATCAGCTCTCCGCTGTAAGCAAGTCAGTAGCGCCTCTGCCGGACGCTGCCTGAGCCTTTCGTTATCTAGAATTTCAGAAAATGGAAGGACAGGAGGCAGAGCGATCTGGCACTGGAACACAGAGTTTGGAGTTAAACCAATCAATAAAAGATTTACACCCTAAAGGTGAGCCAGTGCCAGGGACCTCATGGCACCATAGCAGCTTAATTTCAAATAACTAATTATTATACCTATACTGGTCATTTAATTATACATACTGGACATCAGAAGAAAACCCGTTCTGTCCTTTAAAAAAAAATAAAAAAAAAATATATAGAATGGGAAAGTGTTAAATTACAGTGGAACCAACACTTGGAAAAATTATCAAACATACCTTTAGGAAAAGGCTCAGACATGAAGGGGGTAATGATGAATTACACAGGCCTTGTGTGTCCCAATTGAAAAGACCCCATATTTGTATACAGCTGCAACTCCCAACTAACGTAACACCCCACATGTATACCTTTGCCTGAAATTGTGATAAACTTATAGGGTGAACGGACTCTTGTTTGCTTCATAGAGAAGCTGTTTGTCTCACCATACATATCCACATTGCTGCTATCTGAACCCTAATACCTACCCTGTCTAATCCCTGTGTGATTATGTCCTAGGAGAGATCACCCAGCCTGGGGCCAAACAAGGAGTATTGTTGGACTGGTTAATTGTAAATAAACCCAGCAAGAGCCCAGTACACACAGATTACTGCAGGTATGAGGCACAGAGACTGACTGGCACACTGCACTATGGGCTGACAGGCATCAAGACATTGTAACAACTTGGCATAGCAATCCAATGCCAAAGCAGGCTCTGTAATTCTCTTGCAAGTTTGGGTTTTGCTTGAGACATCCAGCAACAGCCCAGTACATGCTACAACCAGCATGAATAGGGAGCTCCTACTTGCCACCAACTAAGCCCTTGGGGGAAAAGGCTTCCCATAGTTGTGGAATGGTGCCACAGCGATCAGAAGTGGCTGTTGAAGTTTATAAATGGCGGGGTGCTGACTGACTTGTTGGACTCTATTTAATCAAGTTTTGTTTTGTTGTTTACATTTCTGCTTAGACATTTTTTTTTTTGCTACTGGTAATTACATTCTATTTTATTGATTAAAACAATTACATTGCAGATGAAACCTACACTATTTTCACACCTAATCTACCAAAAAAGGCAGCACAGAACCCAAATGCCAGCCATGCAACTTTGGACATTCATTTTGGCCTTCCAAGGCTTTTTGAGTGTGGTATGGCTCACACCCTTCTCTTTAAGAGGTCTACATCGACATCTACACTAAGAATTAAAGGACCACTATAGTGCCAGGAAAACATACTCAGGGACCCCCTCCCGCCCGGCTCTGGAAGGGGGAAAGGGTTAAAAACTTACCTTTTTCCAGCGCTGGGCGGAGAGCTCTCCTCCTTCTCTCCTCCTCCGTGCCTGAATGCGCACGCGCGGCAAGAGCTGCGCGCGCATTCAGCCCGTCGCATAGGAAAGCATTTACAATGCTTACCTATGGACGCTGGCGTGCTCTCACTGTGAAAATCACAGTGAGAAGCACGCAAGCGCCTCTAGTGGCTGTCAATGAGACAGCCACTAGAGGGAATAGGGGGGAGGCTTAACCCATTCATAAACATAGCAGTTTCTCTGAAACTGCTATGTTTATAAAAAAAATGGGTTAACCCTAGAAGGACCTGGCACCCAGACCACTTCATTAAGCTGAAGTGGTCTGGGTGCCTAGAGTGGTCCTTTAACAAAAACAAAACAACTCTCCCTACGGTTAGCTGCCATATTAAAAAAATTGTATCTATTTATTACAGATCCCTGTTATTTAGCCATAGGTAGCTGAAAAACATGGACACTGTGGCCTGGTTACGCTTAATCTTTTCTATAAGAGAGCACTGTTATGCCATCTCAAACATACACCTACACACAATGTTTTAAAACAAATGCAAAATAACCTTTGGGAATAGCCAAACAAGTAACACACATAATTAAATGAACAAAACTCTAAGAAAGACCAACTATGCAAACTATGTGTTTGTTTGTTTTTTGCATTTCTGGTCTGGTCAGACATTCTATTTTACTGATTAAAACATTTACATTTCCTTCTCGGTAATACTAAGCAATGTTAGGAAGATTATATGCATCTACTAATAATATAAATATTTTATGCTACCAAGTATAGAGAGCTTTGTATGTTGCGTTTAGTAGAACAAGACATAGTATTAGATAGGATGATACATGACTACACAAGAAAAATAATAAATGTTTAATTAAATAACAAATGTTTTTTTTTAAACTCAGCAATTTGAAAGAATCTTACATAATTGTTAAGAGCAATTAGTTTGGGGGGACAGTCACAGATTGAGCGTCATTTATATTTTGCAATTCCCTTGTTAATTTGCAACAATTTCAAGATTAGTTAATACATTGTTTAGAAGTAGAGTTATCCTGTGTAATGGTGCGAAAATTGCTACATTGTCACAAAGAACCACCGTAGATTATCCAAGAGTAATAATAATGTACCAGTATAGCAATAAAACGAACCAAATATGTCTCTGCTGTTTATCGTAAAGGGTTATTAATAAATGCAGGAGGCAGCACCAGAAATTGGAGGAAGGGTCAGTGGGGGCGCCAATATGTGTTCTACATTGTTTCAGCAGATAATCTCCATACTTACCTGCTGGTTTTCCATTTATTTATTATACTGTATTTTTTATTAGCATTGTACATCTCTGTTATTATTTAAACCTGGATGTAAAGTAGGGTATTAATTGGCAGGGAAAAGCCAAACTAAAAATATAAGATTTAATTGGCTGGACAATGTGAGGGTGTAAACTGGTGACAGGTTAATTGTGAATGTAGGATAGGGATATCATGACACTAAGTAAGGCTGTTGAAGTGGTGCTTATTGCTTAAAAGGGACACTATAGCCATCCAGACCACTTCATCTCACTCCTGCAGTTGTAAAACATTGCAGTTTTTGAGAAACTGCAATGTTTACATTGCAGCTTTAAGACAGATGCTAGTGTCTGTCTACGAGACAGTCACTAGAGACGCTTCCAGGAGTTTACCAGACTAAATTACGTTGGACATCTTCACTCTCTATATGAGGACATCCAACATCAGTGAAAAGTCCTCCTATCGCAAGATGATGTCAGAGAATGTGGAGCACCGAGGGACATCAACGCTGGAATCGGGTGAGTACAGGGGTTGGGTCATGAGAGAAAATAGGACCAGAGGGCTCTATAGTGTTTGTAATCCTAACACTATAGAATCCCTTTAAAGGGGAATTACCCAGGAAACAACTCATTTATAAAATAAAGTCAAAGAAGGAGGAACCATTGTTGATGTGCTGCAGCCGCCCGAGCACTCTGTAGAAAGCCTCAGGCGGCTGCAGCTATGCCCGGGCTGGTGCGTCCATGAGGGCGCACCGCACCGCCCGGGCGCAGCATGAGTAGAGGGGCTGACAGGAGGGAAGCGCTCAGCGCTGCCTCCTGTCACTCCCTCTCTGTAGCGTGGCCGAGCTCTGTATGGTCCGCGGGTACAGGGAGCATGTACCCGGCCGGACTGAGTGTGGACTTCCTTTTAGTCCGGCCGGGTACAGGAAACAAAAGCTTCCTGTACCTGCGGACCATACAGAGCTCGGCCACGCTACAACAGTGGTAGAGGGGGATAAAGAAATTGGATGGGGGGGGAGGAAATTGGAGAGGGGGGGAGAAGGAAATTGGAGAGGGTGGGCAGAAGAAGGAAATTGGAGAGGGGGGAGAAGAAGGAAATTGGAGAGGGGGGGGATTGGCATCCATCACACACAATGCACACAGAAAAACACACAATGCATTACACACACACAGACACACATACACAAGCAATGCATCCCTTACACACACAGAAACACACAATGCATGCATTACACACACTCAATGCATCCCATACATACACAAACACACCTCGCAGCCCTTACACATACAAACACAGATTCACTCAATGTCCTTACACACATCAGGACATCGCCTACACACTCCACCCCCTGTGAACAAACTCATTGGTGGAACATGAAGGTGAACCCTGGGACCCAGACCTTGAGCTGTGTAAAGGGCCCCCAAAAAAATGGAGCTGCTTCCCGTTCTCCCAGAACATTGATTTTTGTGACCACAGTTACAAACCGCCTCCAGAGATCCTGTTCTACACCAGACCAGTGGAGCCAGACTGCAGCTAGAGCCCATCATCATCCTCATCTGGTTGTAAGTAGGCAATCCAGTATATTATTCGTGGCACAAATCTCTAATTTACCTCACATTAAAGAAACACTATAGTCCCCAGAACCACTGCAGCTTAATGTAGTGGTTCTGGTGTCTATAGCCTGTCCCTGCAGGCCTTTTAATTTAAACACGGCGGCACTGCAGCACTGGCGTTAGTTAACATGGCAGATCATATGAGTGGGGCATTGTGATGTCACAAGGGAGGGGGGGGCGGCAACCTTTACTTTTGCCTAGGGCGGCAAAAATCCTTGCACCGGCCCTGTCGAGTTTTACTTTAGGCTCAAGCAAATGTATATGTTTAACTCTATATTCATGTTTTGCAAGTGGCTTCCTAAAATGACAGTTTCTCTAGGACAACTATTGAGTATTTATATATGTTACTGAAATGAACCATACCATCCACGTGTTATGTGTATGAGAGAGCTCTTTTACGGTCTTGCGCAATGTATTGTGACATGGTTAAACAACAGCCGAACTCTCATTGTATTCCCTAATAGTTCAAATCTGATAGAGACAATTTACCTAATGCTATAATTAGTTAATAATGTTATTTTCAGGCAGGTAAGTGAAACCTTAACGCATAAATCTATGTTTAGATTGAGTGTGATCTAGGAAATTAGAATTAAGGGAACATGCCATGCACCAAAACAACTTCATCTAAAGGACGTTGTTATGGTGCCAGGAGGCCCCCAAGCACATTCATACCTTCAGGGGTTAGAGCATTTTAGAAGGTTTAACGGTTAACCCCTGAAGGTAAGAATGTGCCCAGGGGCCTCCTGGCACCATATCAATTTCCTTAAGATGAAGTTGTTATGGTGCCTTATTATACCTAAACTGCCCCTTTAAACTGAAGTTCCTTACTACAACAAATGTAAATTTTGTTTTTATTTATTTGCTAGATTGTATATTGGTTTGGGCTATCAGTTTGGTTCTGTCAAAATGATTTTGTTAGTCAATTACCTGAATAGTTATTTCCATTTTTAAAATTGTAGAGTGCTGCAGAATATGTTGAAACCTTACTTATAGGAATTTACATGTTATACAAACACCAAAAATAAAAATAAAAACCGGATTCAACTTCAATAAAATGTCATACACTTTAATGTGGAAACTTCCTAAAATAAATTTAGGACTTGTTCAATTAAAATATAGGCCGCATGTACAATCTGTGTTCTGTGGCACAAACCAACCACTGAAACACACAGTGACTTGAACATTTAGACTCCGACCAAACAGTATTATTGGTCCAGTTAGATGAGAGTATTTGTTTATAGATTTGAGAACCACTTGGTTTTTTTTTCTACAACCAGAGTACGTCACATCCATTACTGAAAGCATGCAATGACCACTAGCAGACCATATAAGGAGCATCCTTCTTATGTTCAACTATGACACAGTCACCCACTGGTAACAGAGATCAGACAGCTCACATCCCTGAATGGGAGTAAGATGAATCTCAACACTGCAAAATACTTATGACGTGAAAATAAAAAAGCATATACTGCCCACTGTATTGGTCCTTGAAGGTTCCAGGCCTTGTGCTCTCATCAGGCACTAAACTACACAGATCTTTGCATTAGGTTAAGCCAGTTGTGGCCCTTTGAAGCATTGTTTCACAACTCCCATCACTTTCATTTTGTTTTTAGAATCCAAACAAAAATAAGGTTTGCATCACAATAGGCTTTAGGCCTCACTAGTGGCAGAAGGGTTAATAATCTTTCTTTCCACACCTGAATTTTCCATCACTGTGAAATACGTTTGCATAAATGTGCAACACTGCCATAGACTTGCATGTTGACAAATACATACACACATACACACGTTTGTTTGTGAATACATTGATCAATAAAATAACAAATCTATGTTCTGAAGAATTGCTGAAATAATTTGTATTTATCTTCCGGTCTATAAATCAATAGATACATTTTAGTTTATAACCCATAATAATTAAGTAATAACTGTGTAACCGCTGTTATAAATAATAGCATACACTGGTGGAAAATAAGTTGTATTTTTACATCACAATGTAAAAGATATTGCCCCTGCCTTGTACTGCAGCCTCTAGCCCCACAACCATATTGTAGATTGGCTTGTTAGAGGACCCCATGTGCTTCCTGGGACTGATATTACATACATTTATTACAGGATATGTATCTGTATATTTCACATATTTAGAATATGTACATGGTGTTCACATTTCACAAATGTGCACTCCTAGTATTGGGTGGGGGAGGGGTAATATTTCATTTTACACAACACGTCTACATCAGCCACCGTATTAAAATTAATAAACACTACTATATATATGTGTGTGTGTGTGTGTGTGTGTGTGTTTAATTGTAGACATGTGTTGCATACAGTCATTAAAGGCCATTGTTTATATAAATAGAGCCAATCTTCTCTCCAGCTAAAGCATTGCAAACCAGCAGAAAGGGTTAAATGAAAGCAACAGGGAGGGGGGAGGGGTTGCCAGTCCACCTCTTCGTTGCTGGAAGGGCCTTGTAAACAAAAGGGCTTTGCAGGACCTTTCCAGCACTCCACTAGTTAACATGCCATTAGGACTACACCCCTCCCCCACTCATCGTATGCCTGTGAGCCCCTATGTCAGGGATTCCCCATCATAAAATGTCTAGATTTGGGGGCAACCCCCTCCCTTACCTATGCAGTGTGTGCCCCGACCAAGCCTTGGGGCCACTGCCAGCCTAGCAGGGCAATAAACAGATCACAATAATAATAATCATCATCCTCATCATCATTCCCCATAAGTAGGAAGAGGAGATCATATACATTACACTACCCATCCCCCACCCAGCATACCTTCCAGCACATACCCCCTCTCACTGCCCTGCATGCACTATCCCCCCTGCCTGGCACGGTCACACACACCTCCCTGGGCTCCCCTTCCAAGAAATTAGAGACTTACCTTGATATTGTTGCAAATAAAGCAGCAGCTCCCTCCCAAAGCTGATACACAGCTCCAAAGCCTGGTAATATGCTGTTATTACCCTGGTGTGAGCAGGGGGGGGGAGGGTAAGGGGTACACAGCAAGGAGAGAAGGGGGGTAAATCCAGGAGATATATGATGGGGGGAGGGGGCAGTTTCTAGTGATTAAGTTGGAGAGGAATTGAGGCAGAATGTAAAAAGCTGTTACTAAGAGAAAGAGCCAAACGTTCCAGTGCAGCCAACGGCTCTTAGACACTCAACACTCGGGAGGTGACCAGCTAGGCAAAAGTGGGGTAGGCCGGCACTTCCTAATGCTTCATACAGCAATACACAGCCAGCCAGGAGCTTAGAGCCACAGCAGTCTCATATTCCAAAGGGGGGGGAAAAACACCAGCTCCTAGGATTTAATATGTGCTGCTTAGAAAGGGATGGAGCAGGGCACACAGCTCCCTCTCTGTCACTGTTCTCCAATGCACAAAGTAAAGTAAAGCCTAAACTCACCTGACAACATGTGGGGGATGGGAGACTGTGTGGGTTTTTAATTTTTTTTTCTCATCTTCAGAGGTTTTTTTTTTTGTTTTTTTCCCCAGTTGTTTTGTTTTATTTATCAGATGTTTATTACCAGTGAATACAGATATATTTACAATAAAACATTTGTTTAAAAAAAAAAAAAGGACAATGTTATGAGGCATTTTTTATTATTTATTGTGCAGGGAATTACAGTATTTACATTGAGTTTTTTTATTATTATTATTATTATTATTCCATGCTGTACGCTAGCAAGCAGAAATGTTTACAAGACTAACAAGGAAGTGTGCAGTGGTTTGTGTGTGATTTTGATATTTTATCTGAAATGAGACGTGGCAGGACGTTTGTGGGATCGTGTATCTCAGCACAAATACACTAATCATTGAATTGTAATGGACTGAAAATTGAATAGTGAAAGATAGGCCAAGATATCCAAATTCTGCAACTGAGATAAAATAAGAACTTGAATATTTTAGCTTAAAGAGATTCTATAATGTTAGAAATACAAATCTGTATTTCTAACACAATAGTGCCCTCTGGTCCCCCTCTCCCTCGCGCTCCCCTGGCATATAAAAGGGTTAAAAACCCTTTAGTCACTTACCTGATTCCAACACCAGTGTCCCCCGGCTCTGGGTCAGGAATCTGCCTCCTCGTCAGACTGGGAGCCTAATGTGCCTGATGTCCTCATGTAGAGCTTGGCGACGTCCAGCGTCATTTAGGCGACCTAGAGTACGGTAAAGTCCCAGAAACGCCTTTAGTGGCTGTCTAGTACACAGCCAGTAGAAGCTGTCTTAGTACTGCAATGAGTTTCTCAAGAACTGCAGTGTTTTAAAATGCAGGACTAAGGGGGACAGGGAACCTGCCCCCACACCACTTTAATACGATGAAGTTGTTTGGGTGCCTATAGTGTGCCTTTAAATTATGCAATTCACTTTACTACAGCCGTGTGATACAATCACTCTGGGCTTATCATGGACTTTTATCTGGCCTCACAAAGCATTGCAAGTGAGCTGAAAACATGGCGAGATAAAAAAAAAAAAAGTACATGGTTCTTGGGAATTCACCCGTAATCCTAATAAATTTAAGCACTTTGCAGCAAAACACACAATGGACCGTATGTGGGCAGAATCGGACATGATGCTGGTGGAGAAGGAACTTGACACATTTTGGAATTGCACCATGACATCACTGGATACAGGAGACTCAAGTTGGAAAATGAGTTAATGCCATTATGAACTAATGTTACATTACATTTATACTGAATTACCCATGATTACACCAACTGTTAAGAGCACAATACTTTGTCTTCTATGACTACTTTAACCAGTTTGTATGTTTTATATGGGCTGATGAAGAATATAAAATTGATCATTGTTTTCCCCATATATTCATCACAAACATGTGTGGAACTATTGTATAATGTGGAGTGTCCTGTGTATAAGCTTAACATTAAAAATAAATGTGAAAATATTAAAAACAAAACTGTAAATTTAGGCCATACTAATTTGGAAAAATTATCCAACTTAGATATAGTCAGAACATATGAAATTTGTATTTATTTATTTTTTCATTTACTACAGTCTGGAAATAAAATCTCTTTTTGCTTATTGTGGACTTGTCTCTGATGGCATAAATCTTGTAGGTCTGACGTATTTCAAAGCAGGAAAAGTGAATAGACTTTCTATAATGGTGTTTTTTTTTCTAAAGATGCCAGAATTCCTGTTTGTATCGTAGGCTCAGATCAGGTAATAAGAAGAGGGAAGGAAAAAATATGAAGGAAACATTGAAGAAGGTGGATGTGAAAATGGTGTATTAATAGATTTTGTTACAATAAACTGGCAGGCCGTTTCTAAACTATTGTTGGGAACCTCCTGGCTTCGGTTATTATGCAAGGAGGTTATTGGTACAGTCCCTGCAGTGTTTGTTAAATTTTTGATGTCGTAATAACAAATATTGACAGACAAAAAGAACACCCCATTTAATTAAAATGAAAAAAGTGAAGGTTGCACATAAACTGTGTGTTTACCATATATACTCGTAACTCGTCTATGAGTCGATCTCATGTATAAGTCAAATGCAGTTTTTTTGACCAACAACTGTGAAATATGCTATGACTCGTGGATAAGTCGAGGGTACAACATTCGACTGGAATTGTTCCCCTTCTGTTTGGTTACCGAACAGACTCTGTGTGGTCCCCTTTGTTAACACCTCGTAATAACCGACCACCCCTGGCTGTTAACCGCAAACAAGCATTCCCTGGGTGGCCGCCATTCGTATAAATGAATGCACGTGTTTGTCTCCCAAACGCAGCAATATATTGTCGTTGACGGCATGTATCTCTGAATTGGCTACGCAAGCCCACGAACCCTGCTGAAACTTGTACCCCCTCCCGTTCGACTTTCCGGCCAGCTAGGAGAACGGCATTCAGGAGTTGAACGGCATTCAGGAGTCAACATTGCCCCGCAGTCAATGTACAAAATTCTATCGAAACTAGCACTGACCCATGGATAAGTCGACTTGTTTTAAAATTACATTTGGACTAAATTTACACAAGTATATACGGTATGTTAAAACCTAATCTTTGTATTTTCAAAAAGTTGTAATTTGCTTGATACATCTACTTAGTAAAAATATTAACAATAGGAATTGTAAGTCTTAATTGTATTATCTCAAGATACCATAGGAAAGCTATAACATAACATGAATGCACTGCATTCAGAATTGACTTTTATTTGTTTAGATTTATAATATAAAACTCTGGCACTGCTGTTATATCAACCACACTTCTAGCATTTGCTTCCTGTTTTTACTATGGTGTTTATTCAGTGATCAGTTGGTTGTAATGACCTAAGCACTAGATTAGATACATTTCCAATCCAGATACATCAGACATTTGACTTGCAAATTTAGACCACATTGCACTGTTTAATAGATAAATTCCTGTGTATTTTTCATTGTTAGAATGGACTATTAAATGTATAACATTTTATTTATGCGTACACTGTCAAATAAAACAAAGATTTGTGGCGATGCTAGAAATAAAAGAGGTGCCTTGTAACCCTGATACAGTGTTTTGAGGCAGAAAATGATGGCTTGTATTTATTTTAGAATAAAGTAAACAGGATCATCTTTGTGAAACTTACAAAGCAGAACAATTTGTCACAACATTTCCAATGTCCCTTCCTCTTGTCCTCTTCCTGTTCACATCAGTTTTCCCCTTGCTAGCCCAACAAATTATTTGAGAAAAACCTTCAAGTGAAAAGGAAACATCTCAAGTTGTAATGTCCACAAATAAATTACAGAAGTAATAACAGTCTTAACCCATTCTTTTCATATTGATTTCATGTATACAGAAATTTGCCTAGCCCTTTGCCATAATGGCTCTAAAGTCAATTTGTTGAATTGTCCATGCTGTGACTCTTTAGCCGAATTGTTATATACTAGACACGAGTGACACATATAACCGCTAAATCTATATAACAGAACATTGAGAATAGCTTAACGATCGTATTCATCATGGAAGGAATTGTTAGTTGCTATTATAGCTATTTATTATGAACGCTGAACACTGAATTGGGCCTCACCATATTACCTTGCTAAAACTAGCTTTCTAATTTTATTTAAAGGGACATTGTAGGCACCCAGACCACTTCAGCTAATTGAAGTGGTCTGGGTGCAGTGTCCCTTTTGCATCTAGTGCTGCAATGTTAAACATTGCAGTTCCAGAGAAACTGCAATGTTTACATTGCAGCACTAAGTCAGCCTCTTGTGGCTGTCTACCAGACAGCCACTAGAGGACTTCCTGGATTAAAACGATCTTTGATCCAGTATCTGACGCTGGACGTCCTAACGCTCTGCATTAGGACACCTAGCATCAGATTTTTACCCATAGGAAAGCATTGATTCAATGCTTTTCTATCAGGAGGTCTAATGCGTGCAAAAAAAGGGTGCTCTGTGCCGGGCTATGACTGCCATAAGGATAGTTGTATCTCCCCATTCTGGGACCACCATACCTTACTATAGCCTGGCAGCCTGGTCAATACAGATACTACACTCCTCTGGAAATATCCCAGTGGGCCAATCCATTCCTTGAGAGTACCGATAGCAAATGCACAAACTCACACATTGCTGGACTAGCAAAGGGCCTGCACAATTCCTGCTTGATGCCTCATTCCTGGAGTACTGTAGAAACATACTATCCAACACACCTTGTTATTTTAATCTGCAGAAGAATGCTTAAAGGACCACTATAGTGCCAGGAAAACATACTAGTTTTCCTGGCACTATAGGTCCCTGAGGGTGCCCGGCTCTGGAAGGGGGAAAGGGGTAAAAACGTACCTTTTTCCAGTGCTGGGCGGGGAGCTCTCCTCCTCCGATCCTCCTTCTCTCCTCCCCGTCGGCTGAATGCGCACGCGCGGCAAGAGCTGCGCGCGCATTCAGCCGGTCACATAGGAAAGCATTCATAATGCTTTCCTATGGACGCTGGCGTGCTCTCACTGTGAAAATCACAGTGAGAATCACGCAAGCGCCTCTAGCGGCTGTCAGTGAGACAGCCACTAGAGGAAATAGGGGAAGGCTTAACCCATTCATAAACATAGCAGTTTCTCTGAAACTGCTATGTTTATTAAAAAAATGGGTTAACCCTAGCTGGACCAGGCACCCAGACCACTTCATTAAGCTGAAGTGGTCTGGGTGCCTAGAGTGGTCATTTAAAGCCCTTGCCATCCCTCTCCTGCTTGTGGTCATGGGAAATTTGCCCCCCTGCTAACCGTGTCAGCCATTATATTTGTTGTAGAAACACTTAAATTAAATACATAAAATGTTCATGTTTGAGCATGTAGGGGAAAAGAGAAAATAAATATATCATGGTTTTATGTAGAAAAATAGTTTTTCAATATTATCGAATATAAATAGCACTTATAAACCCCAATTTGGGTGTTCGCTTTCTAAGTTATGTTTGACTTCAAAAATGTTTAATAGTAATCTTGAAAATTTGACCAGGTCTACCAGACAACTTTATATC